GGGGGGAAAGGGACCAGGAAATGTCCGAAACGTTTGGATGCAGATACGACGTGCACGTGATGGCATAAATTCTGTTGTATGAAGTGTTTTCAAATGATTTATAACTGTTTTCCCTTAGCTCAAAGTGGAAATCCATTTAATTTTTGGTTATTTTAGGAACTAGTTTGAGATTGAAGTCTAGGTTTTTTCATACGTACGACATGAGTATGTTACATAGATATGTAACAACATAAAACATTTTGTCGAAAAACCGAATCCTTGGAAAAATCAGTCCTGACACCCCATGGGTGTCAGGCGGCCACAGGGAGCAAATTGGGCCTGACACCCCATGGGTGTCAGGCGGTCCGGAAAGGGTTAAACTTACTCATGGTTAGCTCAATGAGGTCAATGAAAAGGAAATCGAGGCCTTAAGCCAAAGCTTTCCTGGACATCAGGGACAGGGTGACCCATTTGGGTGTAGTGGAGGCAAATTTTCCAATTTTTCAGGCCAATAAAAATAGAGCATAGTTAATCTAATGGTCATGAAACCTAATCATACATTCGCATTTGCAGAAGGAAACTTCTTGATTGAAGATGCTGCTATTGAGTTATTTTTTCCGAAATTTTTGCCTATTTATCAATTCACTCTTCTCTCCGTTATCTTGACAGGCACTGTCCCTTAAAAATAGCGTTTAGGTGTGCTAAGCAAAGCGTAGCAGTAAAAATGTCCCAGTCTATCCGAGTATACGGTCGCACTTGGTATATAAACGAAAGCCGGTGCTGTTCGCATCAAACATGATATTGCTGTTGTGATTTTCATAAAAATTTGCTGATATCACACTGCCCATTTCCCAATTATATTAACCTTTGTTCTGCTTTATCGGCCAATTTCTTCGTATCTATTGCTCTATAGGGGCGGAGATGGTGCAATCGCAAGTGGTAATCACTCGCCACGCGAACTGCTCGGTGTTCCAATCTTCGTTCTAGCCAAAAAAGTCTTTCATTCATTTTCCATCAGTGGAGTGGAGAACCAATCTCGCTTGGCGGTTCAAAGGTGTTCAGCCGTCATAGCCATTTCGGATGTGTTATATACTTCTGTATGGGTCTGGGAACGGTATTAAATCTGCCTACCAGATTTGCTGAACGATTCTCTGAAGAGAGTTATGAAACTAATGGGCGCAGCGGTAGCGGTCCAGACACGAGTCACGAGATCGTCCCCTTGGTGTGATCTATCTTTTGCTTTTCCCAACAGTACAGAATCAGTAGTATTTTTTTCCAGTTGAAAGGCTTATAACTTTACTTCAGTTATATTTGCCATTGCATGCCGGTCTAGTTGGCGAGCAACTCCTAAAAAGTTTGGGTACTATTTGCCCATCATTGCCGATGCTTACAACGCATGCACCCGGTGTTTTCGCGTCAAACAAGTGGGATATTTGTGCTCACTCAAGGGTCAAATTGCCCTAGGTTTCTTGTCAAATCCGAGATTTTGAGACAACAATTTTTCAACAATGCTTCTGAAAAATAAGCGGTATTCTGG